GAATTTTTTCTCTTATAAATACGGAAACTATGATCTGCTAAATGCTACCCTAAATATTCATTTAAATACTAATTTAAATTTTTGAAATTGAAACTGTCAATTTCCCATAAATTTTTACGCTGAAAAATGAGAAATAAAATCCTTCCTTGCCGAATGGCATAACCGTTATGGTAGTACGATCTGATATATGTGCCTGTATCATTTTGTTAATATATGTAACTCTAGATATTACTTAAATTCACGTATATCCCACATACAGAGTCCCTCAAGCGTAAAAGTGTGGCAATTCAGGAAGTTTTTTCCTTTCTTCTCTGTGTGTTTTGGCTGTCATGCTCTCGATAGCACACACACACACACGTATCATTTCGTGTGATCCAGTTAACAAATTTTCTTGCAAGAGAAAATGTTTTTGCGGGGCTCTTTTTTCTGGCTGGAAACATTTAACCAACATTTTAGTTGTTGTTAGAAGTCGTCGTGACAAAAATTAAATACCGACAAGAAACAAAAATCCTCTGCCATGTAATGTAGACTTCCATCCAGCTCATAATCACATGGCACAAATCAAGGCGAAACTGTGGGGGGACTACAGTCGACTCCGTGTAAGTAATACCTTTCAGATACAAAAAAAAAACAAAAAAAGTGGAATGGAAAGAATGAGAAATTCCATAGAAGATTTAGAAAGGGAAATATGGAGGACACTTTAATTAGAGAGTACAGTAGAGTTGGTCCGTAGATCGATCTTCCCAAAACAGGTGATTTTTTATATTCTTTTAATTCGAATAATTTATTTTTGCTATGCCCTAAATTCTTCAATGACAGTGTGCCAGTGGAGGGGAATAAATTGAGACGCCTTTCTTTTTCCATTCTTCAAACAGTGAAAACTTTCAAGGCCCCAGCCGCAAGTACTTTCCCAGACCCTTGATGTGCATCTCATCAATTAATTATTTTATACCATATTTATTAATCGCCATTCATTGCATTTACTTGAACCCCCCTGTACTCTGCTCAAAAACAACAAAGAAATGGGTGAAAATGAATTTGAGCAAACTACAAAATATTAATACATTTTAAGGCCCAAAAGCGGAACAAAGTGATTTTTTTCTTCATTTCATTATATGTTTCTTCTCTGTTAACTGTTTCTTTTTTCTTGGTTTTCTTTAGTTAACCAAGTCTAGTGTGATGATAGGTGCCATGGTGGTGGCGTAATATCCCCCCCATCTGCTTGGTTACACCACTCGAACAATTATACCTTAAATTATATTCATAATAATGGTGTAATTGAGTAGTCGTCTTAATAGCTCTAGAAAATGTTAAGTGTTTCTTGTTTTTGGTGTTGTTTTTTGGTTTTGGAAAGTAAAAGCTGTCGATGTTTATCGCTGTGTGTGTGCTTTAATTTCCTTTCATTTTTCATAACTGTTTTTTGGAGAGAAACTGTTTTGTTTCATATTTTATGTTGAAGCATGTAATGTTTTAATTAATGTAAAACATATAAATTGATATTAAATTATGTTAAATAATTATGGTCTACATTGCCAATAATATATACAGAAATGAGGAAAGGGCTTCGAGAAAGAAAAGAGAATTGCTCTTTTCAAACAAGAAAACACGTATGCATAACACTGTCCAATATAAAAATAATTAACGAAAAAACTAGCAGATTTTAAAAGTAGGGCTAAAAATTGAAAACATTTGTATCGGCGTTTTGAAAGTTCACATCGAAAAATGACCTAGAAGTACCCCCTTTACCACATTTCAGGAAATCTGTGGATTAGAATTCCTTGAAATCCTTATATCCTAAGTATTTCAGAGGATTATGGTTGTAGCAATTTTTAACCATGAAGCAAATCCTATTTCCCAAAAATATGCTTAATAAATAAGCAAGGGCCAAAAGTCGTACGGGGCGGATCATGTGATACCCTACAACACTACAATATGTTGGAAGCCCCCCTTATGTCTAAATATTTTTTGGAAGATTTCATTTTTGAAATTATGCCATAGAACCCTGCCCAGGTGCTGCCCTTAGGTTTTTGCCTGGAGGCATTTGCCCTATATTTATGCTTTCTGTCATGCTGATAGGTGTTCAAAACAATTTCACACGAAAGTTTTGGTACATTTTTCAACTAAAAATAAATTTCAATAGTCATACAAAATGGTAGACTTCTTCCCTGTCCTTAACTCTCTCCTCAGGCAAAATTTCGTGTCGATTGGTTTTCAATTGTAACCTGTAGACAATTTATTATATTTTAATTTATTATATTTAAACCCCTTCAAAAACAAATGGCTTTAATTCTGATTTAATAATTAATGATTTAATAAGAAAATTACAGAAAATTTTGAAGAGGGGGGGGGAGGGGTAAGTCGAAATTGCCTCCACGAAAACGTCAATCTGCAGTAGTTAGCTTTATATTTAAAAAAAATAATTCTGACGAACAGTGTACTCGAGAAATAAACCGATCATTGAGAAGACACAAGGATGTTTTTCCTACAGAACTCTTGTCCAGAAATTTTAATGCTTCTTTGTGATTTCCAGCTATGTATACCTATAGCTGGGACATTTTTCAATATAACGTGAAGAACTACGATTTGCTCGATTTGAGTGGGAATTCAAAGCCAAGGAGAAATAAAGTAACAGAATGTATTGCAATGGATTTGTGTACAGAATTAACAGAGCAACAATTTTCTTCTTTCTTGCAGCTGTGGGCGGGGCCGACTTTATGATACCCTACACCACTTTGCTAATTTAGTAGAGGTCCACATAAGAGTTAAAAGTTTTTATGGGAGAATTCAATCATACACGCTATAATTATAATTATATTTTAAAGTTCAAAAGACTATATATACCGAATTCGGACTTGTATTGCCCATTTGATATGTATGGGAGCTATATCCAAATCTGAAGCGATCTTGATAAAATTTGGCAAATATACTTTTGAGCTGTATTTCATATATTTCCCTGAATATCGTTGTTACGGAGTGCATATTACGGCTGTGGATAAGAAATGTAACAAATCGGATGAACAATACATATGGGAGCTATAGCTATATCTCAACCGATCTTCACCAAATTTGACATACTAGCTTCTAGACTCAATTTGGTCGTAAGTGCCGAATTTCATCCCATTAGGGCAAGTATTAGACGTTTGGTGCACAAAAAAAGTAAATCGGACGAAGCTATATATTGGAGGAATGTCCAAAACCGTACCGATCTCGATAACATTTAACAAAGGTATTTCTGAGCTGTATTTGATATATTTCACCAAATATTGTCATTACAGAGTGCATATTACAATTGCGGAGGACAAAAATAACAAATCGGATGAACAATATATGGGAGCTATAGCTATATCTGAAGCGATTTCGATCAAATTTGGCATACTTATTTTCAGGCCTAATTTGGTTGTATGTGCAAAATTTTATACTATTCGGGTTGATATTACACGTTTGGTGCACAATAAAATGCAAATTGGACGAAGATATATATGGGAGCTATATCTAAATTTTTACCGATTACCTCCAATTTCAAAACAAATGATTTGTGCAAAATTTCATCTGGATCGGGCGATAAATGCGACCTGTACTGTGTTTACAAAAATACATAAGCAGACAGACGGACGGACATGCATAAATCGACTCAGAATGTGATTCTATGAAGACCCTCAAAAGTAACTATGGATCTATTTATCCTTCTCCATGTTACAAACAAATGCAAAAAGACATAATACCCTGACCACCTTGTGGTGTAGGGTATAAAAATAACAGTATAATAAAACGTAAATAATTGCTGGCCAAGATTAGAATATTCTCGAGTTTGGTGCGTATCTTACTCTCTCTTATTCGAGTGGTATAGATTTATTTATTTTTTTCTCCTCACAGGAGTACTTGTGCTGGGATAGAAACGAGTTTCTCTCTCTCTCTCTCTCTCTTTCTGAAATGCTAAACTCCTTTGAGTTTAATTCCCTTTAAAATAAAGTTAGAATATTTTTATACCCACAGCATTATTGCTACAGAGCTTAAATATTAACTTAACCAAAATTTACCACGTTGAAATAACTTCCATTTTCCATTAAGATCACTTGAAACGAAATCCGTTTCTGAATATGTCCATTGAAACGTTCGCCTGTCTGACTGGCAAAACCGGTCCTTTCATTGCAAAAAAGGTCATATCTATCATATAGTACAAAGAAATCGCCCGATATTGTAATACCTTTACAAGACTTTGATTGGAATGAGCCAAATTTTGCTTGAACCACACACAAAAAAGGGATCAGAATTTTAAATAATTATTGCTCCAATAAGACGTAAAGTAATTTTCAATTGCCCTTCAAACTCTGCAAATTTCAATATATCTGCTATCTCTAGGTCCTCTTCTTCTGATCCCTTCCCTACAAAAATTCCAATTCTCATCAGATTTGGATGTAGCTTAACATAGAGTAATACTGGTATACTTATAATTTGACTATTAATTACTCTCGCGAAATGTGAAAGTAGTGAGAGGGTGGAATATATCCGCCCACTCTTTCTGGTACCTTACCTGAATCTGGTTAACATTTTAATTTTATAAAACATTTCTATCAAAATTAGGGCAGATTTCCTGTCCAATCTCTGAAAAAATTTGAAATAAGACTTTGAAATTGGTACCTTCCACACAAACCAAAACTTTTGAAAAATTCTAATATCCACATAAGGGAACGAAACTATCCATGTTGGCGTAACTTCGAATACCCAAATATTTCTATCAAACTAGAGTCAAATTTCAATTAAATGTACAGTATAGGTAAATTTCTGTAGTCATTTTTCCAAGGCATTTTTCAATCCCGTTTTATTGTAACGATACCACTGAGTTTGTCTAAATTTGATGTTGATTTTTTCAGACTTTTCAGTTATTAAAGAAATATTTTTAAATTAATTTACATTTCGACAATTAACTATTTGCAAAAATAATACCTATTCATAACCTCAAATCCTTAATAATTTACCTTCCATCATTCAATTCTTTACAGAAAACCAATTGTAGTGCCACCACCACAGAAACACTACAAAATTGTGTTCATTAAGGCTCCATCACCACCGGCACCCACAGCACCTGTTATCCCAGCGCTGCCACAGACTGAAGAAAAGACCTTGGTCTATGTGTTGGTCAAGAAACCCGAAGAACAACCAGAAATTGTCATTCCCACACCGGCACCAACACAGCCCAGCAAACCTGAAGTCTATTTCATTCGTTACAAGACCCAAAAGGAGGAGACTGGACCCTACCCCAATAGTATTGCACCAGCTCCTTCTGGTGATTATGGTGCTCCATCTGTACCCTCCGCACCATCGGCGCCCAGCTCTTCGTATGGTGTACCTTCACACTAAGGCGGAGATGGCTTTCAGAAGATGACAACGACAGAGACCAAATAGAGAAAACCGCAACTGAAGAATACTCAATGTGAAACTGTGTTTTTTTACCTTCGATTCGTTTATGGACAGATGACGACAACGACGACGGACGGATAACTCAAGTTTAGTTAATTAAGTCTCTCACTCTCACTCTAGCTCTGGCTCTTTGCCCTATGCCCTTTATCTGAACTTTTTTTGTCTATTCTACCCCTCTACTTTGTTTTTTTATAATTAGTTGTAAGAATTTTATAATTATTTTTTTATTTTTATATAAAAGCAACGAAAAAAACTTTTTTTTAACGTGTGACAAATTATTTAATAAGTATTTTTAGCATTACATATATATATTTTTTATACATATTATTGTTGTTTCTTCCTCTGAACAAGAAGAACGGAAGCAGGGAGGAAGAGAGGATGACAATAGCGGCCTAATCATCAATCACCCACCAGTATAGAAGAAAAGGATGAAAATGAAAAAATCATTTACCAGTCGTTATCCCCCAACATCCGAATCCTCAAGCCCTTGCCAGGCATTCTGTTTAGCTAGACTGTTTGTTTCATATGAAAAAAGAGAAAAAGAGAAAAAAAATATGAAAAACTCATCACAATACATTTATAAATATTGCATTATTTTGTTTGTCCATTTTTATAAAAAAAACATTTTTTTACATTCATACATTCTCACAAGTAAATAGTTTTTTTGTTTTGCATTGTTCTCATCGTTTACAGTTTGTATTTGAATTTCATAACAACTCAAACAACAACCGTCCAAAACACCATCATCATTTCAGTTGTAACGCATTTTAGTATTTTATTATTTTATGTATTTAAAAAAAATTAAATGAAATGAAGAGAAAAACTTTTTTTTGTTAAACTAATAACAATGTTCATTTTTTGTGTGTGTATAAACAAAGTTAATAAAATTCTTTTTTATAGAAAACTACTCAATTTTGGAATTTATTTTTTTTAAAACCTGAATAGCAGATTTTATACCCTGCACGACATTGGAGTATAGGCCAAGATAAGTAATATCACTCTCCAAGACTTTTCGTTTTGAAAATGGGTTTTAGTCACTGAAAACGGGTTTTAGGACAAATTTTCTGTAAATTGGCGAAATATATTTCCATTAAGTATCAAACCTCCTTGCATAGAAATATCAATATCAGTTTTGTATATATATATTGTATCTCCAGTTTTTTTATACCCTACAACACTATGTGTTGGTGGTATTATAAGTTTGATTGGGCCAAAAATTATGTAACACCTCGAAATATTGGTTTCCCACATAGGAAAGTATATATGGATCTTCCTAGCTCGCCGAGCTGAGTCGATCTAGCTATGTATGTCCGTCCGTCCGTCAGTCCGTCTGTCCATGTTAATTTGTAATCACTCTACAGGTCGTAATTATGGCCCGATCTTCACGAAATTTAGAATGTAGGTGGGGTTGAGGTCAGAATAGAACCCTATTTCTTTTGGAGATGATCGCCAAATGTTTAGGGGTTGAAATGGACCAAATACTGAAAAAATTTTGGTTTTTGCAGTAGCTATACAGGTCGCAATTATAGACCAATCGACGCGGAATTTCGCATGTAGCTAGAGTTTAGGGCAGGGAAGAAGCCTACCAATTTGGGTGGTCATCGGAAAATATTTAGCGGGTAAAATAGACCATATATTTTGTGTTGAAAAAATTCAAAATTTTTGAATAAACCGCGAATATTTTTAATCCCGGCTAAATCACAAAGCCAAAAACAAGGTTACTTCTGATCTTTACATTGATGTTAACATCCAACAAATCGGATATATAGCAAAATATGTGCGATATATATGTCTATCAAAGAGAATATGCTTGAAAGATCTCTTATATGTCGAGAACGGCTGAACTGATTTCGACAGTTCTCATTAATTCAGAATGGCCTTTTGGCAGGAAAAAAAAAAACGTCTGAAAAAATCGCATAAAAATATCTCTCTAAAGATGAAAATATTGATTTTGTAAAAATTTCTCATTTTTTTTTCAATTTTGTCATATTTTTGGCATATTTTCATTTTGAATTAAACATTTGGTAATATTTCTACAGCTTACAAAACTAAGTAGTTAGGATATCAGGATATCATATACAGATCGCATTTATAGCCCGATCCTTACGAAATTTTGATAAGATGAGGGTCAGAATAGAAGCCTACTCTTTTTGGAGATGATCGTCATATATTTAGGGGTTGAAATGGACCAAAAAACTGCAAAATTTGTCAACAGGTCGTAATTATTGCCCGATCCTCACGCACATTTGGATGGGGGTTACCGGACTTTGCAAAAGCCAAGCAGTTTTGGATGGCCATCCCAAAAATATTCAATGTGTGAAATAGTTTGCAAACTTTTGTAGAGAAAATACGAAAATGTCCATTCCGGTGACTTTTTAGAGAATTCACAAATACAGGAAAGACGCACTTCTGACTATTTCGTTAACGCTGATTTCGTTGCGTTGCAGTCAAAAACCAATAATAAATGTTAATCTTTTGCCACGTCTGAGGAATTATAGGTCTTTGGGAAATATTGGTTCCAGATCTAGGAAGACCATTTAAGTGCAACATCTACCAATAAATTGGAAATGAGCAAATTACTTTAAGTTGCTATTATTCGAAAATTAGAGAACGAAACCTGATGGTTTTCTTTTATTATACACAATATCTTGTGGAATTTTTTCGAGTATCCCGCCTATATAAACTGTATCGTTTATTATAGTGTCCTAGGGTATTCAACGTTCGGCCCCGCTCGACTGTAGCATTTGCTTACTTGTTATGTTATAATTGTATCTCCAGTTATTCGTTATTTTAATGATTTGGTCGCACTTTTAACCGGAAATTTTTGAATTTAAAGTTACTAAAGATTACTACAGCCTCTGACGGAAAATTGCTAATTCAGGTCCACGTCTTCGTGTAGCCTCCATATAATGGTATCTCCCTACATTCTGTATTTTGATGATTTTAGCTACATTATCCACCAGAATAAATTCAAATTTTGTATTGAAAGTTCGTAATGGGAGACTACCATCTGTGACCGAAAATTGCCTATGCAGGTTCATGTCTTCGTATAGCCCATGTCTTCGTATAACGGCACCACCCTATATTTGGTAATGTGAACGGATTTTTTTTATACCCTCCACCATAGTATGGAGGGTATATTAGGTTTGGCATTCCGTTTGTAACACCTCGAAGTAAACATTTTAGAACCTACAAAGTATATAAATTCTTGATCAGCACAAAATTCTGTGTCGATTTAGCGATGTCCGTCCGTCTATCCGTCTGTCCGTCTGTGGAAATCATTCTAGCTTCCGAACGAATTGATGTAGATGAATAAAATTTTACTCAAATGTATGTCTGCAAGACTTTTGGGCTATGTAAGTCCACGTCTTCGTATAGGCCTCATAGTAGTACCTCCCGATGTGCGGTATTTTCATGATTTTATCGACATTATTCACTGGAATTGATTCAAATTTGGTATTTGAAGTTTGAAATGAATACTACAGCCAAAGACAGAAAATTGTCTGTTCAGGTTCACGACTTCGGTACCTCCCTATATTCGGTAATTTGAGTAGATTTTTTTATACCCTCCACCATAGTATGGAGGGTATATTAAGTTTGTCATTCCGTTTTTAACAGCTCGAAATATACATTTTAGAACCCACAAAGTATATAAGTTCTTGAATTCTTGATAAAATTCTATGTCGATTTAGCGATGTCCGTCTGTCTATCTGTCTGTGGAAATCACTCTAGCTTCCGAACGAAGCTTGAAGTAGATTGATAAAATGTTACTCAAATGTATGTGTTATGCCTGCAGGACTTTTGGTATTGAAAATGGACCATGTAAGTCTACGTTTTGGTATAGCGCACATATAACGGTACCTCTCGATATTCGGTATTTTGATGATTTCAGCGAATTTATTCACCGGAATTGTTTCGAATTTTGTATTTGAAGTTCGTAATGAATACTAGAACCTACGACAGAAAATTGTCTGTTCAGGTCCACGTCTTCGTATAGCCCCCAAAATAACGGTACCTCCCGATATTCGGTATTTTGATGATTTTAGCGACATTATTTACCGGAATCGTTTCAAAATGGTATTTAAAGTTCGTAAAAGATGCTATGGCTAAAGACAGAAAATGGGCCATGAAGGTCCACGTCTTCGTATAGCCCCCATATAACGGTACCTCCCGATATTTGGTATTTTGATGATTTTAGCGACACTATTTACCGGAATTGTTTCAAATTTGGTATTTAAAGTTCTTAATAGATACTACAGCTTATGACATAAAATTGTCTGCCCTATAACGGCACCTCCCAATTATCGGTATTTTGATGATTTTAGCGTCATTATTCAACGGAGTAGTTTCAAATAACGTATTTAGAGTTCGTAATGGGGACTACAGTCTGTGACACAAAATGTTTTATGCAGGTCCAGGTCTTCGTATAGGCCCCATATATCAGTGCCTCTCTATATTCGGTATTTTGACGATTTTAGGTACAATACTCACCGAAATTGTTTGAGATGTCGTATTTGAAGTTCGTAATGAATGCTACAGCCTGTGACAGAAAATTTTCTATGCAGGTTCAGGTCTTCGTATAGCTCCGATATAACGGTACCTCCCAATATATTGTATTTTGAAGATGCAACATTTTACCCGTTTATAATATGGGAATGGCTTTTAACAAACAATGCCTATGTAGGTCAACGTCGTATAGACCCCAATATAACGGCTATTTTTATTATTTTAAAAATTACCAAATTCGTTCCAAATAGGGGAGGGTATTCAAAGTTCGGCCCGGCCGAAATTACAGCTTTTTTACTTGGTTTTAATTTGCAAATTCCTTCAATAAGAAAAAGGAAAGGAAAAAGTAATGGAAACCTCAAAGATTCCTAAAAAGGTTAAGTTTTAAGAATACTATTCAAGAACATATGTCGCTATATCCGAAAATTCGTTATAGAGCTGCCTCCACGTAACATCTTTCTGATTAAAACCATGAAGTTCTTAGATCAAAGATATTAATTTGGAGAAAACTCAGGTTTCAGTTGTTCCGGCATTTATGCACTGAGTTTTATTTACAAATAAACTGCTCTGGTGGTGGCTCTCGAAAAAATATTTTTAATAAGCCTTTTTCATGGGAGTATGCGATACTCGTTGGAAAAATATTCTTAAAAATCCTGATAGCCTTGAGAAAAATATTGTTAAAAATTAGAATTATGATGTTGATATTCTATGGAAAAAATATTCTCAAAAAAAAAAAACAAAAAAGAAAATCGTGTTTGTGAATTAAGATAAGTTAAGGCGGACATTTCAGACCGTGCAAATGTTGCATACTCTCAGCAGTCATAAGGTTGAGAGTGTAAATAAAGCCAAACTTATACGCAACAGAAAGAAAATAGACTCAAAAGAGCTAAAGAGTTGCTTCGCTTGGCCAAAAGTCGTGAACTGCCGAATTCGGTTTTCTCCGATGAGAAAACATTCATTGTCCAGCAGTTTGTAAACAGACAAAATGATCGTATTTACTTGCCAAAGTGGTAAGCTAA